ATCTTTTTAATGTTTCCTTGTAGAGAAGTACTGGTTTTTCTATTTTATGTGATATAGAAATTGATTCATTATTAGCAAAAGGCCCGCTTATATGAATTGATTCTTGAATGAACGCCTTGCTTTCTTCAATGTTGGGAGTCATTGTTTGTGCTAGGATTAAGCTGTGATTCCTTCAGTCTTATCTCTTTACAGATATGGGGAACTTTCATCATGCAAAATACATACAAGGGAAAAGATTACTTGCTGGCTTTTCTAGTGACCATTGGTTGTTCAGTCTTCATTTTGTTCCCGGTAAGCAATAGTCTATGGCCTAATTGGGTTTTATCTTCTCTTCCGGAATTAGAACCTCCTTTTCTTTACTCATGATTCGTGGTGGATGTAATCGTGATTTGTATCTTGTAGTCATCTTGATTATAGGAAGATATTTACTTTCTGAGCGATGTTCCGAGTCTCTCTTTCCCTACAAAATTTTCTCGATCATTATTTCAATTATGGCAAATTTGATGGTTTTCTTACTTGATTATAGGTATAGGTGTCAATCGGGCGGGTTCGGGCTGGGTTCAATCGGGTTCGGGTTCAAACGGGTTGCGGGTTAGTCGGGTTGCGGGTTCATCGGGTTTGGGTTCCAACGGGTTGCGGGTTAGTTGGGTTGCGGGTTCATCGGGTTCGGATTCAATCGGGTTGCGGGCAAATCGGGTTGCGGGTTCATCGGGTTTTGGGTCGGGCGGGTTGCGGGCGGGTCGGGTTTCGGGTTGTTCGGGCCAACGCATCAAGTAATTTAACTCATTACTCATTACCAACTTACACATTTTATTACACTAATTTAAAATATTTTCTCAACTTTTTAACCAATTTATTTCTACCTCGTATATATATACTTTATTTTTTTGAAAAAAAACTAGTCAAAATGTTAAATCAATTTGTATGACTTGCAAACTTGTTATGTAATTAATCATAATTGGTAAAGTATTATAGCTAATAGTAATGGTGATATCAATATTTGCAACCAAAAGACACCGTTAATTGTTTATTTGATATTTTAGTATTAATTCAGTAGTAATTTGATTAAAGTATCTCGTTTAGTATAACCATGCAAATCTGGTATTTGGCGTGTGGTATTTGGCAAAAGCATAGTGATAAAATGAGTTATTTCAAAATAACTCATTGCCCAAATAACTTTAGTGGTTCATGGTTCAATTATTAATTCTCTAGACTGTTTGTTAGTAAACTGTTGCCAAACGAGTTATTTGTAAAATTGTTCGAATTATCCTAAAAATTGAACCATTAAAGATTAGCTATCATATTTAGTAAAATTATTGTGACTTCAATCATAACTTACTCAATAGCATATATCCTATACACTTAGCTTTACCCTCAATCAACAATATTAAGTTAGTATATGTTGTAGATTGTATACCCTAAACCATCAATACATTATACACTAACAACATAACCTATACCCTAACCATATGTCCTTGAGTTGTGATTTTGCTAGTATAGTTAATTTAAAAGTGAAATTCTTACTTTGATTTTCAAAACATAGATAAAAAGTGATATTTGCTAATTGTTATACCCTAACCATATATCCTATACTTTACACCACATACCTTGTACCCTAACCACGTACCATAAACATAAATTAAAAAGGGATCTCCTGCCGTTAAAGACTTCAAATGACTTCAAGTGAACATATGTTAATAAAAAAACTTAGAACCGTCAAAACCATCAATATCTTATACCCTAACCATATACACCCTAAACCATATGTACCTTATACTCTAACCATATACTTTATATCCTAAACAACGAACCGTCAAAGATTACTTATCAAGTTTAGTATAAATTGTTGTAACTAATGGTTAATTTATTTATTAGCCCATAAAAAATTACATACATATATACATATTAGCCTTCAAAGCATATAAGAATAATTTTAACTAGTCAGGCCCTCCATATACAAGTTAAAGATTCATATTTCAAAAGCTAAAATTATGAAAAACCAAAAAATTGAAAACACCAAATTTGTTTCCTTCTTTCTTTTCACAAAAATACTAAAATTTCGCTCCTTCTTTCTCCTTCCATACATTAGAAAAACTCAATTTTCCCTCCTCTTTCTCTTCCATAAAATTGAAAGAACCAAATTACCCTCTTCTTTCCTTCTACAAAAAGTTGAAAAGTCAAAAGTTTCCCTCCTTATTTCTCTTTCATAATCAAAAGAATCAAATTTTCTCACTTCTTTCTCTTCCCACATATCAAAACCACCAAAATTCACACTTGTTTCTTTTCTAAAAAATTCAAAGAACCAAATTTCCCTCTTCTTTCTCTTCCCAAAAACTTGAATTCACCAAAATTTCCCTCTTCTTTTAAAAACATCAAATTATTAAATACATTACTTTACTTTATTTATATTTAATTGATAATTTTATTGAATAGTTAAATTAACCAAAATTTTAATTTATATATTATATTAATATTGTCATGATCTCAAGTGACCTTCATGTTTCAATTTTTGTAATTTTCTTAAAATACGTAATATCAAGTGAGTTTCATATTTTTAAAATTTCTTATACGAAATGAAAAAATAATTTTACTGAAGTTTAGAATGAAAAACTTTATTTTGAAAAATATGTATTGTATATTTTTATAATTATTCAAGTGGAATAGATGAAATTCGGGTTGAGTCGGTCGGGTTACGGGTTAGTCGGGTTCGGGTCAATCGGGTTCGGGTTAATCGGGTTGCGGGTCAGTCGGGTTGCGGGTCAATCGGGTTCGGGTTAATCGGGTTGCGGGTTAGTCGGGTTGCGGGTTAGTTGGGTTGCAGGTCAATCGGGTTGCGGGTCGGGCGGGTTACTGGTTGTTGACTTTTAGTCAATTCGGGTTGCGGTCGGGTTGCGGGTTGGATTGATCGGGCGGGTTAATCGGGTCGGGCTATGTTTTGACAACACTAATTATAGGCAGGAACTGATCTAAGTCCATACAACAGAGGAAGGGAAAATACTGTTTGGGGAGTTTCTTTGATGCTCGGTTATCTCGTGTACTATATGGACCCCATATTCTTGTTGGGTTGGTCCAACTCATATGGTGGTTGGATTAACCGGTTTGAGTTTGAGTTTTGGTTGGTTTCTAGAAGATTCTCTATTTTCAAAATAGAGAGTTATTGTCTAGTCAAAAGTAAAAAGAGGTGACAGCCTTTCATTTTTAGAGAGAGAATCAGAAAAGAGAAGAGATAAGGAAAAAGAGAGAAGAGAGAAAGAGCTGTTGTTTTTCGTTTCTGCAGCAGGGCAGTCTGTTCAAGTGAGCGTTCTGGAAGATTGAACCGTTGGATCGTGCTGAAGTTTGGGCAGTGGGTTCGAAATTGTCTGGGCTTCATTCTGACTGGAGGGATCGTCATTCTGAGGCCTAGTTCGTCAGGAATAGCTGTTGGACAGAAGGTGTAAGAATATGTTTTTGGGTACCTCTCAACCTTTCTTTGTCTTGCTCTTGTTCTTGTTATCCACCATGTTGGTGAGAGCTATTGTGGTTGATTGTTGATCCAAGAAGGGTGTTCTTGAGGTGCTTGTAATCCTCTAGCTAGTCTAGAGAGGACTTGTAATCCCACCAAAGTCTAGTGGAGTTGTGGCTTGGACAAAGGTCCCGTGGTTTTTCCCGATTTGGGTTTTCCAAGTAAAAATCGTGTGTCTTGTGCATTCTATTCTTGCTTGTGGTTGCTGCCCGGTTTCTCAACAGTGGTATCAGAGCTTAAGTTGTTTGGGGGCTGTGTTTGGTGAATGGCAAGAATGGATGACTCAAGTGGAGCAATGATTAAGTTGACATCATCCAACTACTCTATTTGGAAGCCACGGATGGAGGATATTCTGTTTTGCAAGGATCTCTATGAGCCAATTGAAAATGGCAGCGAGAAGCCGGAAGACAAGACCGAGAAGCAATGGGAGGTCTTGCATAGAAAGACTGTGGCAATCATTCGACAATGGATTGACCAAATCATCTTTCATCATGTTGCAAAAGATACAAGAGTAGATGAATTATGGCAGAAATTGGAGTCCATGTATGAGAGGCAATCGGCTCAAAATAAAGCCTCAGTCATTCGAAGAATTGTGAACTTGAAGTACAAGGATGGGCATAGTGTCTCGGAGCATTTGAGTGACTTTCAAGGGCTTGTGAACCAGCTAACTACTATGAAGTTAGCACTTGATGAAGTGTAAGCATTGTTACTTCTTAGTTCTTTGCCGGATAGTTAGGAGACTTTGGTGGTCTCACTTAGCAACTCAGCACCTAATGGCAAGTTGACGATGGACATTGTCAAGGACAACATGTTGAATGAAGAGGCAAGGAGAAAAGAGTTGGGGATTACATTGGAGTCACATGCTTTGGTGGCGGATAATTCTGGAAGTCGTGGAAGAAGCAGAAATCGAAATTCCAACTTCAAGAACTCTCAGAATCGAAGTAACAGCCGAGGGAGATCAAAAGGGAAATCAAAATCATTGTCAAGACCAAGAGGAGAAATCACATGTTATCATTGCAACCAGCCCGGACACATGAAGAGGGAGTTCAGAATCTTGAAACGGGAACAAGCTAGAGGAAAAGGTGTGGAAAACCGAGAAAAAGATGATACTACTGTTGCTGCCACGGATGGTGATGTAGTCATTGTTTGTGATGCCGGTTTTGTTAACCTTGCTTGTCAAGAGAGTACATGGGTTGTTGACTCGGGTGCCTCATTTCATGTGACCTCACGGGTTGATTTTTTCTCTTCCTACACAAACGGTAACTATGGTTGTGCGTCATCAAAGATTGTTGGCGTTGGTGATATTCATCTAGAGACCAACACGGGTTGCAAGCTAGTCTTGAAGGATGTGAGACATGTTCCTGACATGAGGCTGAATTTGATATCCACGGGAAAGCTTGATGATGATGGTTATACCAACTATTTTGGAGAAGGAAAATGGAAGCTCTCAAGAGGTTCTCTCGTGGTGGCTAAAGGCAAGAAGGAAAGTACGCTCTACATGACGAATGAAAAGCATAGCAAGGGAGAAATCAATGTTGCTGAGAAAGATTCTTCCATTGAGCTTCGGCATAAGAGACTCGGTCATTTGAGCGAGAAGGGGCTGCAAATATTGTCCAAGAAAAAACTCTTGCCCGGAGCTAAAGGTACTCTTCTTAAAAATTGTGTTCATTGCTTAGCCGGAAAAACTCATAGAGTTGCATTTCATAGATCTCCACCTTCTAGGAGTAAGGTACTTGATCTAATTCACACCGATGTTTGTTTTATGCGAGATAAAACTCTTGGTGGTGCAAGCTATTATGTTACCTTCATCGATGATCACTCAAGGAAGGTGTGGACATATGCTTTGAAAACGAAGGATCAAGTGCTAGATGTTTTCAAGCAATTTCATGCTGAAGTGGAAAGGGAAACCGGCCTGAAGTTGAAGTGTGTAAGGGCTGATAACGGGGGAGAGTATAGAGGTCCATTCGAAAGCTACTGCAGATTGCACGTAATTAAACTGCAGAAAAGTGTACCCAAGACTCCACAACAAAACGGTGTCGCCGAGAGGATGAATAGAACAATTTGTGAGAGAATCAAGTGTATGCTCTCACATGCCAAGCTACCTAAATCATTTTGGGGAGAAGCAATGCGGACAGCAGTTGATCTAATCAATCTCTCACCATCGGTCCCATTGGAGGGTGATGTGCCTCAACGAGTATGGACGGGAAAGGAAGTCTCATATGAACACTTGCGAGTGTTCGGTTGCAAAGCCTATGTTCATGTTCCAAAAGATGAGAGAGCAAAGCTTGATGACAAAGCAAATCCATGTATATTCATGGGCTATGGGCTTGAAGAGTTTGGGTACAGATTATGGGATCCAATTGCAAGGAAAATTGTTCGGAGCCGGGATGTGATTTTTCTTGAAGATGAGACAAGTGAAGACATCGAAAGGGTTGAAAAGAAGAAAAATACAGCAGCTGGTCCGGTTAATTTGGAGTCTATATCTCCATCCCAAATGCATGAAAATGTTGAGGAAGTAGTGCATGATGAGCCCCAAGGTGCACTAGATCAAGAAGTGCAAGGAGAAGAGCAATTGGAGCAAGAAGAACAAGTTGAAGAAGAGCAACCTCTATCCGAACCAAGAAAGTCAACAAGAGATCGCAAAGCTTCCACTTGGTACTCCCCTCATGAGTACCTATTGTTGACTGACGGGGGAGAACCCGAATATTATCAAGAAGCCATGTCTCATGAAGACAAGGAGGAGTGGAACAAAGCAATGCAAGAAGAGATGAAGTCTTTGCAAGAAAATCACACCTATGATTTGGTGAAACTACCCAAAGGAAAAAGATCACTTAAGAACAAGTGGGTCTACAAGTTAAAGACGGAGGAAACTAGTTCAAAGCCTCGGTTTAGGGCGCGACTAGTTGTGAAGGGTTTCAACCAAAAGAAAGGTGTTGACTTTGAAGAAATTTTCTCTCCCGTGGTGAAGATGTCTTCTATCCGAGTTGTGCTTGGGTTGGCTGCAAGTTTGGATTTAGAAGTTGAACAACTCGATGTGAAGACGGCGTTTCTTCATGGTGACTTAGAGGAAGAGATATACATGGATCAGCCAGAAGGGTTCGAGGTTAAAGGCAAAGAAGATCTTGTATGCAGATTGAGAAAGAGCTTATATGGGTTGAAGCAAGCACCAATGCAATGGTACAAGAAATTTGACTCATTCATAGTAAAAAACGGGTATGCAAGAACTACCTCTGATCATTGTGTGTTTGTGAAATACTTTGCTGAAAATGATTTCATCATTCTCTTGCTTTACGTGGATGACATGTTGATCGTGGGTCGGAATGTTGGAGAGATTGATAGATTGAAAAAGGAGTTGAGTAAATCCTTTGTCATGAAGGACTTAGGACCGGCGAAACAAATTCTAGGGATGAGAATCTCTAGGGATCGAAGGAATGGAAAAATTTGGTTGTCTCAAGAAAGGTATATTGAAAGAGTTCTTGAGCGGTTCAACATGAGCAAGGCTAAGGCGGTTAGTACTCCACTTGGAGGACATTTCATATTGAGTTCGAAGCATTGTCCTACAAGTGATGAAGAGAAAGAAGCAATGAAGAATGTGCCTTATGCATCTGTTGTTGGAAACTTGATGTATGCCATGGTTTGCACAAGATCGGATATTGCTCACGCCGTTGGGACTGTTAGTCGGTTTCTTTCCAATCCGGGGAAAGAACATTGGAGAGCAGTGAAGTGGATTCTTCGCTACTTGAGAGATACTTCTAGAGTGTGTCTATGCTTTGGTAATGGCAAGACCATACTTGATGGATATACCGATGCTAACATGGCAGGTGATGTGGACTCTAGAAAGTCGACTTCTGGTTACATAATGACTTTTGCAGGTGCTGCAGTTTCATGGCAATCTAAACTGCAAAAATGTGTTGCATTATCAACAACAGAAGCCGAATACATAGCCGTGACAGAAGCTTGCAAAGAGATGTTATGGTTGAAGAAGTTTCTTCAAGAGTTGGGCATTAAGCAAGAGATGTATGTGCTCTATTGTGATAGTCAAAGTGCAATTCATCTTTTCAAGAATCCAACTTTCCACTCAAGGTCGAAACACATAGATGTTCGATATCATTGGATTCGTGATGTTTTGGAAGAGAAGTTGTTGGAGCTCAACAAAGTTCATACGGATGACAATGGTTCGGACATGATGACTAAGTCTCTACCAAGTGGAAAACATATCTTCTGTCGAGATGAAGCAGGTTTGGTGCTACCCCCCATATGAGCTGGAGGGGGAGATTTGTTGGGTTGGTCCAACTCATATGGTGGTTGGATTAACCGGTTTGAGTTTGAGTTTTGGTTGGTTTCTAGAAGATTCTCTATTTTCAAAATAGAGAGTTATTGTCTAGTCAAAAGTAAAAAGAGGTGACAGCCTTTCATTTTTAGAGAGAGAGAATCAGAAAAGAGAAGAGATAAGGAAAAAGAGAGAAAGAGCTTTTGTTTTTCGTTTCTGCAGCAGGGCAGTCTGTTCAAGTGAGTCTTCTGGAAGATTGAACTGTTGGATCGTTCTGAAATTTGGGAAGTGGGTTGGAAATTGTCTGGGCTTTATTCTGACCGGAGGGATTGTCATTCTGAGGCCTAGTTCGTCGGGCATAGCTGTTGGACAGAAGGTGTAAGAATCTGTTTTTGGGTACCTCTCAACCTTTCTTTGTCTTGCTCTTGTTCTTGTTATCCACCATGTTGGTGAGAGCTATTGTGGTTGATTGTTGATCCAAGAAGGGTGTTCTTGAGGTGCTTGTAATCCTCTAGCTAGTCTACAGAGGACTTGTAATCCCACCAAAGTCTAGTGGAGTTGTGGCTTGGACAAAGGTCCCGTGGTTTTTCCCGATTTGGGTTTTCCACGTAAAAATCGTGTGTCTTGTGCATTCTATTCTTGCTTGTGGTTGCTGCCCGGTTTCTCAACAATTCTCGTGTTAAATATACTGAATTTTGTGATGTTGGTAACTTGTGTATAATAGAATAAAGTGAACTACTTTGCATTACCAAACAAAAAGTGAACTACTTTGTTGCATTGAATGATATATAATTATTGTAGTTCAGCTCTTGATAACACGTAAACGGCATGTATATTTTACATTGATCGAGAAGGCATCCTGTAGTATGCTTCAATCACACTTCTTGGTTCTTGAAACTATATATTCACCCTAATTAGAGTTTCATTTTCACTCCTTTACAAGTTAAACTGGTTGTCTGCATATTCATATTTTGGTGAATTTCTAGAGCATGGGAAGTGCTAAGCAGGATTTGCAATTGGATCCCCTGTAAAGCATTCTGAACATTTATGTCTAAACTTGTCATCTGCATTGCTGACAGGTTTGATGGGTTTACAAGCACATTCCAGGACAAGCTATTCAAAGGTTATGAAATGGAAATACACAACCAAATCTTCTACACAACACTGTGTTCATGTTTTCTTAGTTTCACAGGTGACTTTCCCATTCTTGCACTCTCTCATTCCCTACCCTTGAAAATCTTATTCTAGCCCGCTGTATGGCTATATGTACTAGCTGCAGCATCTTCCGTTGTGTTATTTGCATTGTTTCTTATTTTTTTCGTTCACATTTCTATTCATCCAATTTGCTTAGTCTTATATTGCTTGAAAATGTTTCTGAACCATGCCAGTGGAGATTAATGTTAATGCTTGAAGCACAGAAACTTTGTTTATGGTTTAATATAATGGATTTTTCATGTCTTTTGGAGCATCCGGTGGTGAAAATTAGCAAATAACCTTTTTGCTTCTGATGTAGGTCTTATAATACAAGGACATCTACTGCTAGCCATAGACTTCATTTCTCGCCATCATGATTGTTTCCTTGATTTAGCATTGCTTTCAACAGTGAGTAATCTTTTCCTTTGTATTTCCCTGTTTTTCATTATATATTGCTCACAAGAATCTGATGTGACTTTTATATGGTCACGGCCTGCTTCCGTTTTGCTTAACTCACTGAGGGAGCTGAAACCTAAAGAATTGTATTTGTTCCTTTCAGGTAGCAACTGCTAGTCAATTCTTTTTTTCCTACACAATTCGAACCTTTGGTGCTCTTACATTCGCTGCCATAATGACAACAAGACAGGTACGGTGGCACGAATTGTATTCGCGACATTGCACTTTTGTTAACTTAATTGGCAGTTTTCTGATTCTGCTGCGTTGGTGTTCAAAACTGGAGAGCATCTTGCTCTCATGTGTGTGGTTCTCTCACCCTCTTAGTTGGGAGCAAGTGATCGGATCTGTAAGTCCTTGTCTCTTTCGAAACCCGTTTTCATTACTCTGCTCTTGCAGTTGTACTAATTTCTCTGGCGGTACATTTTTCCAGGTTATCGTCTTTGGTTCTTTATACACAAAGAACTTGTGGAAAAGTGCACCTCCAAAGCCTCCACCACAGCAGCCTTCTGGACCTGAACTAGTAGAAGAAGGCGCTTCTAGTACCGTTAAGAAATAACCCCCTGACAGTTTGATGCCCGGCTCTTCTCGTACCTCGTACGAACTAATCTTAGTGCCAGAATGATGATTTACAGTAGGACAGTAGGGAGCGGTATGAGATCCCCCAATTTTCGGCTTGGAAAAATAACTGATGAGATCGAACAGAGAGGTTCGGAGCCCAAGTGGATGTATGATCCGGTTAGGTTATACAACTGCTTTAATTTTCTTCTGTTTCAACATTTCTTCTATTCATTCCCTTGATCTTGTCTGTCAAGTGCTACATTAGAATAGAGGATTTATATAACGTGTGATTTTGGTAAATAAAATTCCTAAAGGTTCTTTGAGGAGACGAGTTCAAGTGTTGCCAATTCTATTACAGTACTGGTCGTGACGCATGCTTTCTTCCGTCGGCAAATGATATTGTCAGGTGAAAAAAATGTATTTGATACAAAGGGTCTATGTCTAATAGAAATTGGCTATCGGATTTTAGCGACGGCGAACGGGTTCTGGTGGCAAGCAGCATATTACGGCGATCGGTCATCGTTGCTCGGTGGCTGGCTTGGTGGCTGCTCCATATAAAATTTACATAATCAATACCAGAAATAAGGACTACTGAAAATCACATAATCCAAAAGAAATTACAAAACATATAGAAGAAAGTAGTCAGTGATGAGTGATGACCGACATCAATCCGTACAATAAACTATCAATGCAAACATTAAGGGGTCGTTTGGAAGTTGCGATTGTTAAATAGATGTATTGTTGATAATGCATGTATAATATTATACATGTATTGTCGAATTTTATGCATTGTAGAATACAATGTTTGGTATGTGTGATTGTGTATGTCGCATCAGCTAAAAGCTGAGACAAAACAATCTCAACTATCTCAACAATCACAACTCAAAGTTGAGATATAACAATCACTCAAAATGAGTGATAGTTTCTGTCACATCACAGAAATAATCCATGTATTGTTTCTGCTAAAAAAATAAAAAAAAACGATGCATTGTAAACAATACATGCATAATGACAATCTCAACAAAACTATGGCAACTTTCAAACGACCCCAAAATGGCCTAACGTGTACAAAAAACTTACGGATCTATAAACCGGGGTTGATGTAGTAGTAAAGTAGGAGTGAAAATATTCATCACATCTTGAGTTTGAATTTATGGGTCAACAACCATCTAAAACAACAACCAATAATCATCTAATTCATACCCGATATTTCTTCAAAGACCTGATAGGACATTGCAATCACAAATAACCAATACCAAAAACTAATGAATGCATACTAGTGAGGGTCGAAGTTCGAATTTAGAGTGAGGAAGGATTGAAAGTAACAAATTATAGCAATTTCGCGAGATTGAACTTATATATGGGGAGCTAATTGCACCCTTCATTTTACCTTGCAATGTTTTCTCAATATATGGATACACATTATCACTTTGAATTAAACAGCGAAAAAGGATTATAATTTATAATCCTTCCTGAACTACATATTGCTTTGCCATTGACTAGTGTATACGACAAACATGAGAATTTATACCAATAAAAGTCAATATCATAGACCGTCTAATAAATATAATTTTTTTTATCATCCATACTAAAAATAACTAGTAACATCAATACTGGTAGATAACGAATGCATAAAAAACAATATTAATTTTTGGGCTAATACCACTAGGAAATCGAGATTTTTCCAATAATAGTAACTTTTTAAAAAAATTACAAAAATAGCACACAACCTACACAAATTCCAAAAATAGCACATTTCTTTCAAAACCGCACCTTCAAGGTGCGTTTTATGTGCAAACCGCACAACGAGGGAGCGGTCCACGCTAGGGCAGCTCCAAAACCGCATTGTCAGTGTACGGTCCGTGTTCCCGAGGCGGCGGTCCCCAACACCGTTGGATTAGGCGGCGATCCAACGGCCAACCGCACGCCAGCGCAGCGATCGCGTCAGTGATCGAAGATCGCGTGCATGGCAAACGGTTTGCGCCTTGAACGCCGTGAACCACTCCCTCCAGGTACGGTTTTGGAAAGGGCAAAATTACGAAATTGCCCCTGGAGAGTGCGGTCTGAAAACTATAAATACTCCTCTTCCCCCTCCCCCCCCCCCTCCTCATTTTTTCACACCACAACCCATTCTTCTCTCTCTCTAAAATTATCTCTCTATCCATTCCCCTCCCCTCCCAAAAGCCTAGGAAATAGTGGTCTGTTGGTGGCGGCTAAGTCCGATCTGCCATTAGAAAATATTTCTTTGGTTTTTCCTTCAGAACCCGCCAAATCTCTGTCCGACTTCCGCGAAAAAATGGACGAGTGGTTCCAAGAAGAGGGAATTTATTATGATGAATTTCAAGCGGTACATACCCATTTACCAAAAAAAATTTGTTGTTATAACCTTTTCAATTAATCTATGTACTAATGTTGTTGTTATTCTCTCATAGTTGGGGACGACGTGGATATATACAACTAACGGTATTATGTTGATCAAGGACCTAGTGATCCAACCGTGTTGTACGACCAACCCAACCATCGGTCAAGGGATGTTTGGAACGATCGCGAGATACATACAATTCTTCATCATTTCTCTTTCTTTTAATTTGTTAACATGCTTAGTGGAATATAAAATAAATTTCATCATTTTTAATCGTATTGGTTGTTTTCAATAATTTAATCGAATACATAGCGCCACTTACTTAGACTCTTTATAAAGAGATGCATGCCTAAGGAAATGAGGTTTTAAGCGATTATTATGATCCTCCCATTCCCTAGGAAAATTGGGTTTTAAGCGATCCTCAGATCCCCCTTTTTCTGTCAAAAAGGCTGCGTTTCTAAGAAGATGTATACCTCTTCTAAGAGTCTTACGAGTGTTGCATTATATTCGATCAAATTATTTAAAACAACCAATACGATTTATGTGTGTGTACAATTATAATTTTATTGATTTCAAATATTTGAATATGTATCTCTTTAAATTATTATTCATTTAAAATTTAATTTAATTACTTAAGTATGTTTTCTTTATGAAATTATGAATATATATTGGAAAAAACCTTGAATTATTTTAATTTGTTTGTTAATAATATAATTATAATAAAATTATGGTAAAAGTTAATTCATTTATTTTAATTAATTTAGTTATAAAAAAGGGCAATGTCTATTTTTTACCCAAACCTTTTTCAGATTCTTTTATTTTAACCAAACCAATTGAATTCCTAAAAATTATCCAAATGTTAACTCTCCGTCAATTTTTCTGTTAGTAATGCTGACTAAGTATGACCATAATGAGTTGACTTCCTACGTGGGGGTCAGAATACCATCATTTACTATTTTTAATAAAAACATTATAAAAAACAAAATCCCACTCCTCACGTGGACGAAATAAGTAACGGTAACAGAATGAATGCCCAGAATTTGATAAATTATAATACGTTTGGATAATAAATAGAATTTCTATAGGTTTGGTTAAGATAAAAGAATCTGAAAAAGATGTGGGTAAAAAATAGACATTGCCCTAAAAAAAACTATTACTAGTATATCATAAATAACGTTAAAATTTTCGCTAGGAGGCATACCAAATACTCCGCTACAGGGGTACGACCAATGTGCTCCCATGGAACGACGTTGTCTTGCCCTTTCTCCAAAAAGGCACGGTTGGAGTCGATTAGGCATTTTTCGGGCATAAAAATCGATCGTCAGCTCATCACCGCATTTGTGGAGAGATGGCGAAAAGAGACACATTGCTTCAACTTTCGCGAAGGAGAGTGCACCATCACTCTAAAGGACGTCGCCATCCTAACCCATCTGCCCATCGACGACAAAGCGGTGTGTGTGAGTGATCATGCACCCGAGGATGTTAGCGATATGACCAGTTGGCAGCATTTGATCTACAATGTTTTGGGGGTGCGAGTGCCAGTCAAGGGGAGCGTTGATGCGACAGATCGGTTAGCACCATTGAGGAAAAACCAAGTATCAATCACTTGGTTGACGAAGTGGTTGAAGGACCAGCACGATCCTACAAAAGGCGGGGTGCCCCTGACCGAGGAAACCCGAGGAGGTGAAGGAAAGATATGCTCGTGTCTATCTCATAGGCATGATCGGAGGAGTGTTCTTCTCCAAAAAATCGAACTATTTAATTAGTTGGGGATGGCTTAGGAATCTTCTTGGTGATTGGGATGCGATGGGGGAGTTGAGTTGGGCATCCGCTTGCCTAGCTAATATCTACCACCATTTTTGTAATGTATCTCTCAAATCTATGAGGGAGGTTGGCGGGGCAATGTTCATCGTTTCAATTTTGGGCTTGGGAGCATCTGCCATGGATTGTACCGGAGAAACGTCCCAACATGAATTGGCCCGTCGACCATCCGCTAAGAGGTGAAGCTTATGGTAGTAGGTAAACTTCTCATACCCAATCATGATTTTCATAAAACAATTTCGTTATTTAGTTATAACATTTCATTATTGTCTTACTAATAAGGTGGGTTGGAGCCACAACATGCGACAACCTTGTAGACCACAAGGTGGCAGAGTATCGAAGGAGGCTGGAGCGACTTTGGGAAGGCAAGGTAACTAGAATACTTCAAAATGTTATAACTTTTTTTGACGAACTACATGTACCTTCCAATTTCATTTAACTTAAGTTTTTCATTTCTTTTTGTAGATCATTTACGATCCATACCCTGAGAACATTGTTCACTGGCATTGCCAGCAATTCCCTGGTCATATCGGGCAATGGTGCACAAGAGTCCCTCTCATTTGTCACCATACCGTGGAGTGGCATTTGCCGGATAGATGCCTCCGTCAGTTTGGTCGGGAGCAATGCATTCCTTTGGAGGTCCCTGAGAGCCAAAGAGCGTTTCACCACCGAGATGGTCGACAAGGTGAGCAAGATTGGCCCGTGAAGTTGAAGAAATTCATCCGGATGGGAGAACCGACAAGATTTTGAGATTGTCACTCCGACAGCTGTGGGTCGAATGGGGTATCATGACCCATACATGGATAGATATCGACAACAATCGGTTAGGTACGTGACTCCAGAGGGTGCGACCGATGGTGCATTGGTAAGTAATTCCATGTAATCAATTAAATTTATTGCTTTTCATGGACATATCAAATTTAGGTTGATGGGCTCGAGCGTATCAAGGATATGACTCATGGTCGAGATCAACTGGTCAAGAAAGAAGTGGGCTTGCTGAGGAGGATGACAAACAACCTGCTTGGGTGTATCAGAGCACGAGGTTGTGATCATCATAGATACTCGCCCATGCCCGCACCTCCTTCTTCGAACCAAATTGTTGGCCCTTCATAAACCCAGTGAGTGGACCCCATACTGGGATCTCTGGCGGCCCCATGTCACTGTCGACACACCAATTATTGTCTGGAAAGTGAGTGTAGTACGGTATAGGTACACGGTCACGATACACCTCATCATCATCTGAGTCTGACTCTGACTCTAGGCCTCCTGAATCATCAGCACCTTCAAGAGGGTCGGAGCTGTCTTCACTAACATTGTTCTCTTCTTCTTTATCGGAGGGGTCACTAACTGGTGCTGGCATCTTCCATCTGATCCAGATAATGAAAGACACCTTCATCAGCTCTGTTATGGTAGTTGTGAAAACTGTCGCTGCCTTAATGGAAGTTGTACTCGAGTTGGTTGGCATGGTCCCGTTGGACTTCTTCATCATATGATGGGAAAGATTGATGATGACCTTCACCTTGCTCTTGGTACTGAAAGTAGGAATGAGGATCATGGTAACTTTGGTAGGGATGATCTCCATATAATTCACCTCCACCATGGATACCAGATGTTTGCCCGTCTCCAGAATGACCTCCAACGCCTTCGACCGCCTCGGTGTAAACGAACATCTCGGCTTTAGAAAGATTATTGGACCTCAAGAATTCGAGCATGACATCTTCTTCATCCTGAGTGGTTGTGGGATATTCATCATGCCACAACGACTCGCATTTTCTGTTTGAATATCGGTATACCATACGATCAACTTTTCTCGTGCCATCCATGCAAGTAACATTAGTACACATTTGATGGAGGTCTTCAAGCATCGGTCTGGTAGCGACCTTTATTTTCTGAAAATTGCCACCGACGTAGGTGACCCCCTTTCCGGTCTCTTCCGTGTAGCCATTCCAACGTAACCCTAGCGTGAACTTTTGGAATGCCATCTGTAATAAAATCGTAATTCAGTTAAAATCATAAAAATCACAAATCACAATAAAAAGTAATACAAAATAAACTTACGAGTTAACATTAATCGCAAAAACAATAAAAAGTAGGGTGCTACAACAGAAAATTGAAGAATAAGGAGAGGTGTGAAGAGAAGAGGTTTCCCGGGGCTGCCTTTTATAGGCTAAATCATCACTGAAAACCGCAGGGGGAGGGTGCGGTTTTCATTTGCCATGCAGCCCCACGTCTGTCAACCTGCATGTCCAACATGCTGGATTCGGAAAAATGGGAACGACACACAAACCGCAGGGGGGGTGCGATTTGTGTGTCGGCAATGGAAAACCGCACCCTGAGGATGCGGTTTGTGTTAGAGAAACAGAACTGCATCCTCAGCAGGCGGTTTTGCTAGGTCAGCCTAAGAACCGTCTTGCCAAGATGCGGTTCTGTTAGGTCAGAAAGCAAACCGCTTGGCCAAGATGCGGTTTAGTCTCTGAAACTCAAACCGCACCCTCAGGTTGCGGTTTATATGTAAACCACACGACCAATGTGCGGTTTTGAAAAAAAATGCTAGTTTTGGAATTTGTGTGGCCTGGGTGCAATTTTTGTAAATTTTTTTAATGCCGCTATTTCTGAAAAAATTCCTAGGAAACCCGCACTATCAAGAATGTATCATTTGTGTCCTAAAGTATCCAATATGACATTTGTGTCTCAATCTTATCCTATGATAGTTGTGTGTCATTTATGTCCTCACGATTTCGTTGACCGTTATAGATGACGGTTGATCAGACGGAAGTGAACTTTAACATCGACTTTTGTTGATGTGATGGCAGCCACGTAGATGACAAGTCATTGAAACATCATATTTCTAATTTAAAACTAAAAAAATTAAAATAGAAAAATTACAAAATAAAAAAATAATTAAGAAAATATAGTCTTTGTTCTTCTCTCACTACTCGCTTCTCTCTCAAACATTTTCCCAACATAGAAAAAGATGTTGGCCGCATTTGTTTCTCTGCAGCGTTCTGGGAAAGAGGAAGAACATAGGGAAATAAGAGAGGAAAATGAGAGTAGATAAGCTTTCTGCAGCCGTCGCCGCCTAGTCGTCCATTGTCTCCTCTTGTACGATCAAAGTCGCACTCGACGCGCTCCTCGCAGAGCCACCGCTATTCTCTGGATTTTCTTGACTCGAAGAAAAATCAGGGGAAAGGAAAGAAGAAGAAGGCGGGAGGGCGGAATGGGATTGGTAATTGTTGAAGCGGAATCGGAGGATGAAATTCCGGAAGGTAGAATTCCGGAATGGGATTGGCCACTTCTGCTCCATCGACAACGATGAGTTATACCGGTTCGCCTCTGTCTCTAAAAAAAGAGCCACCAAGCCGGACTCCTGACTCCACTCCATTGAAATCAAGAAAACCCCCAAATCCAATGACTCAATCGAAGAAGCAGCTGGTGGGTTTCAATTTCACTTTGAAAGGGAAACTTCTCTCTCGAGCTCCATTCCAAATCGACTGCGTTGGTGGGTCTTTGTTTTCAGTGCGAAAACCACCGCTCTCCCACCTACCATGCTTAGCTTCACCGAAGCTGAAGCCCCTTCCTCTGAACTTTCCCCTCCGCGCGGGCGTGGCGGCGCGGATCTCGTCGGGGGTAGGAAGGCAATGCTCCGGGATCCAGCGAATCATGAGCTAGATGTGCGACTATGGGCTGATCGCGTTACGAGCGGCACGATGTCGAGGACCAGCAGGGAGGAATCATCATCGTCGGAGGAGGAGGATTGACTGGGTGAGTCGGGGCAAGAGGACCGGGTGAGCCGAGTGGAGGAGTTTTTATTTTGTAATTTTTTATTTAAATTTGTTATTAGATGTAAAGGTAACTTAAAAATTAATATTAAAATTCCATGTTAGATGCCACGTTAACGTTGACTAGATTTTCCTAGTGGTATTAGCCTTTTTTTTTTATAAACATTTAGCATATTACTTTATAGAAACTTGAGTCCATACTATTGAATTAGGGTTTTGTTCTCCGCAAACGTGTTCACTGCATGGCGGCGATGACCTCGTCGGCCTCATCCTTGCTGGTTGGTGAGGGAAGACCACCTGATCCAATAGCAGGGAGTCTACGCCCACTTGAGGTGTCATCCTCGTCGGACGAGAAAAAAGATAGAGAATCGCAACACCCAAAAAAGCGTGTACTTCAGCTAGAGTTGATTAATGATCAGAATTTGAGATACGAGGTTATAGTGGAGGATATAATGGAAGACGAGATGAGGCGGAGGAAGACGGCGGGACTACTGGTGCAACGGACCCAAAACCTCAGGATGGCTCAGGATCCAACCCTACACAGTTTCAACGGGCTCCGGCTTGGGGGCGAGGAAGAAGAAACTTTTTGCCGAGGATGTCAAGGAAACTAAATGGTATATAGAGGAATCAGACTCGGAAGATGTCTTTGAAGCTATGAGAGACAATGATCAAGATATGGGAGTCCCTGAAGATGATGATCCGCTCTCCCCTACGATTCCGTTCTCGACTGCTGAGCTGAAGAGTTATCGAGGGGAGTGGAGATCTGCATTGATTATCAAAGTTCTTTGGTGTATGTTCCCTTACCCAGTGTTATCAAGGAGACTCAACATGTTGTGGGCTAAGACTAGGACGCTTCAGATTGCAAACAAGTCCCATGGATACTACTTCGTGTGCTTTACGAGTAAGGCAGACTATGATATGGCCCTAACAGGAGGTCCATGGATGATAGGAGACCACTACTTGACAACACAGAAATGGAGGAAGGGATTTAACCCTAGGAGCAGCGAAATCACGTCAACGTTAGTATGTATGCAAGTCTCCAAGCTTCCTATTGAGTTCTTCAACCCAGCGACAGTGTTGAAAATTGCAAAATGTGCGGGGAAACCAATTCGAGTTGATCGTGCTATAGAGCTAGGAGCGAGGGGAAAATTTTTCCGGGTCTGTGTTGAAGTTGACCTCACCAAACAATTGCTCTCTCGCTTTAAGATCGAGGGAATTGAGTATGAAATTCAATAGAAGGTTTGAACAATATTTGCTTCCATTGCGGCACGTATAGCCATTCAATCATGACATGCCCGCTCCTACATAGAGAAGAAGTTCCAACCTCGGCCGCACCTAAGCCTTACCCAACCTCACAAAGTCATGCTGAACCTTATGGGTAGTGGATGGTGACGAAGAGATGAGATAGGCGGCGGGTAGAAAGGCGGATCAGAGTAAGTAGAAGAGTCCAACGCCCATGGATAATACTCGTGGTACTCAGGGGTATACTGTCTCTCGATTTGTAGTGTTAGTCGAGGATGAGAGTGAAGACAACACATCGAGTGGGAATGCGCAGAACAATGTAATTGAGGGTGAGAGGCAATACACAGTGGATGGTAGCAACCATACCCAGCAAAAATCAGCACATTGGCAGATGACACAAAAATGGGTACCCAAGCAACCAGATAACACCTCGAGGGATATACAGAAAAATCCCGCATTGGTTGAGGAAGCTGACGTTGGCCGTCCCAAACCACCTTTAGGGGTGGATGCCAGCATGGAAGTGGAACCCAGCATGGACGAAGTGAATCAAGCCCTGCATCATGAGTCCATCGCAACAATCCCAATGGCAATGGAACGTACAAATGATATGGAACAGGAGAATACCAAAGCCAAAAAACCACCCGACATCATCCCACCCACGAGCTTGGATCCTCATGTTGTGAGTAAGTTACCTACTAATGGTAATAGAGAAGAAGCAGATAAGTCTAGACACGGGGAGGGGCTCCAAGAGGGCACCCCTCAGGTCCTGCAACAATAGTTCGGGCTTGGCCTGCCCCAAAATTTCCAAGTGCTAATGGATCACAAAATCTTCGTTTGGAATAGCAGGGGTGCAGGAAGCATTCGATTCTTGCGAGTTTTCAATGAATATAAGAGGCGGTATCGACCAAGTATTGTAGTGCTTGTTCAACCAAGGATAAGCAAGAGCTGAGAAGATAGTTGGTAAGATGGGGTTTGATAAGAACCTGATTTTAGATGCTACATGCTTTGCGGGAGGAATATGGCTAATTTGGAACTCGGGGATGACTACTATTACTGAGATTGATCGATCTGCCCAATTCCTTCACGTTAATGTCCTTAGTAGAGAAAACGACTGGTTACTCACCACCGTTCATGGGAGCCCGACTCTTAGCCAGCGCCAGGAGTTATGGAACTCTATTTGATCGTTGGAGGAGGAGGTAACTAAGCCATGGTTGCTGGCAGACGACTTTAACTCTATCTTGCATGCGTCTGAGAATTCAGGGGGAGCTGTGTTTGATAGTAATCGCCAGCGGCGGATCCAGAACATAGTAGAGCACTAGGCCGCATTTGAATATAATATTAGATATCGTAAACTAAAATAGTCAACATTCCAAAATTTAAGTATTTCAAATAAGAAATTAGTTACAAAATTTACAACGGTAACAGACAAATGACTGATATTTTGATGCAGTACAAAAGATTTTACTAATATTTTATGTTTCGAAAGGTTTGGCTAATAATTTGGAAAGTCTGAAAGGTTTGGTTAATAAATTGTGTCATTAATGCCAATTGTAATAAAAGGTTTTTTAATTTGGAAAATCCCATCAATAATATAATCTCCATTCATATCAATAGCATACTCTCTCTCAAATAAAATAGCTATGCAATCAATGAAAAATTCATCGCGCATTTTGTTGCGCAAATTAGTTTTCACATATTTCATTGCTTAAAATGTTCTCTCCATGGTAGCCGCTATAAACGGGAAAGGTCAACACTGGACGAATCAACCAAAAAATCACTTTGGTTTAGAGGGTTTTCTTATTTCAATGAAACTTTATACGGTCTTTACGTTTTAGACATTTAGGTTTTATTGTTTTTTTTCAATGAAAATCATTCGGGCTAGAATTTCTAGGCAAAATTGGGAGTAGTTGTTTGCATATGTTTATCTAGACCGCTTTTCTAGCTACACAAAATTCTATTATCAAATAACACTCGACCGAATTTTAAATAGTACTGGGCCGAATACCTAAATCGAAAATCTTGTAAGCACTATACTAGCTCTGGATCCGACGGAGGGCTGGGTCGTGGCCCGGGTTGGCCCAGCCTTAGATCCGCCGCTGGTAGTCGCATAAGGGATTTCCAAGACTGTGTACTGGACGTGGGACAGGTGGATTTGGACTACGTTGGACTCTCTTTCACCTGGTTCCGGGCAGACATGAAGGAACGGCGGGATCGAGATTTAGTGAACCTGCACTGGGGGGACACTTTTCCTGAAACAATTTTGCTTCACCTACCCCGTGTGAAATCCGACCATCCACCGCTGCTGATCACATTATCTCCACTTTTCGGCCCGATGGGTCCAAAACAGTTCATGTTTTTAGCCGCCTGGCTAACTCACGACTCCTTTCGGGACATGGCTCGGTCGGCATGGTCCAAGGGAACGAAGCTGCTCACTTCTATTAATTCTTTCTCATATGAGGCAAGCTGCTGGAATTATGATGTTTTTGGCCACATAGCGAAGAAGCAAAATGAGCTCCTCCACAAGATTGAGCATGTAGAAACCTTGTTGGGGGCAGAATCGGATTTTGAACAGCTTAAGAGCCTGCGCGACGAACTAGAAGTGATCTTGCTGCAAGAGGATTTACTATGGTGTCAGAAATCTCAAACTGAATGGATGGTATGGGGGGATCGAAATACAAAAAAATTTCACACTCCTACACTTCACCTGAGACGACGAAACCGTATTGTTGCTTTGAAGGACGCGATGGGAAATTGGGAGGAAGATCAAACTAAGTTTCAAGACATGGCTCGTCACTATCATGTAAACTTGTACACAGACGAGCATGAAGAAACAGAAACACTCCCAGCTGGTTTTTGGACACTAAGTTCGGATTTGGGGGGGGAGCTGTGGAAGAATTTTGACGATTAGAAGGTCTTCCAAGCTGTCAAGGAAATGGGACCGATGAAGGTTCCATGGAAGGACGGTTTGAACCCATTATTCTACCAGAAATGTTGGGAATTTGTGGGCCCAGATATGATACAGTTTGAGAGGATTTGTTGCGAGGATCCGACGAGGGTTGATGCGGTGAATTATACGATTTTGGTGCTCATACTCAAGGTTCCAAAGCCCTCGATCATAGAGTAGTTCCAGCCTATAAGTCTATGGAATGTATCTTACAAAATCATTAAGAAATGTCTGGCGGAGAAGCTCAAACCCCTCATGCCTCTCTTGATGGATGAGACACAAACAAGTTTCGTCCCGTGGAGACACTTAACTTACAATATATGTATTTTGCAGGAATTTGTTCATTCCATTAGAGTAAAGAAGGGTAAGACTGGATGGATGGTTCTGAAGATCGATCTAGACAAAGCCTATGAGTGGATCCGATGGAACTTTGTGGATGATACCTTGAAGACTTCGGGTGTGCCAGATGAGTTCCGCAGGCTTGCTATGCGGTGTATCTCCTCGGCAAAGATGCAAGTGTAGTGGAACGATGACCTGACTGAGGAGTTCTTACCCACTCAAGGACTACGCCAGGGGTGCCCCCTCTCGCCATACATCTTCACTCTCTGCATTGAACGACTCGGTCATCTCATTTGAGACTCGGTGGAGAGTAAGACCTGGAAGCCTATTCGGCTCTCTCAGCGGAGGCCAGCTCTGTCACATCTATTCTTTGCCGCCGTGAGGCGACATCGGATCAGGTGGATGCTATACAGGGTTGTCTTGAGAAGTTCGAAGTTGCTTCAGGGCAACAAGTTAGCTGCCCAAAGTCACGGGTCTTCTTCACGAGTAATGTCACAACTGATCAGGCTTCTCTAATCAGTATGGCGCTCGGGATACAGGAAACGAAGAACTTGGGCAGATATTTGGGAGTCTCGGTGATAAACGACAGGGTCTCAAAGGCAACTTATACAACAATGATTTACAGAATAGATGCTCGGTTATCATGTTGGAAGGTGAAGTCTCTTAGTCTAGCGAGCAGAATCACTCTCGCCCAATCAATTATGTCGTCGCTGTCAGCATATACTATGCAGACTTCCTTCCTACCGGAAAATGTCAGAGACTACATTGATAAGAAGATCAGGGCGTTTGTGTGGGGTAGCTCGGAATTGGGAAGAAAGATACACCTTGTAGACTGGAAAACAATCTGCAGACCGAAAGAAGAAGGTGGACTTAGTCTTCGAAGTTCTACAAGAATGAACGAGTCGTTCATGTTGAAAATTGTCTGACGAGCTGACTGATGAGGAAGAGGGTCCGCATATTAGGACTACATACGAGCTGACTGATGAGGAAGAGGGTCCGATATGGCGGCTGACTGCTTCGGGGAATTTCTCTATTAGGACTACATACGAGCTGACTGATGAGGAAGAGGGTCCGCATGGAGTTCATCTGTTGTGGCGGGCAGTTTGGCAAACGCCAGCGACGCAGAGGATTCACTCCTTCTTTTGGCTGGTGACCCACCAGCGCCTTCTCACTAATGCGGAGCGGAGCAGGAGACATCTGGCTTCATCGGATGCCTTCCCGGTGTGTGGAAATGGCCCGAAGTCGACCCTACATGTGCTCCGGGACTGATCCTATGCAAGGGCTTCTTGGGCTGCATTTCTAGATGGTGAGCCCGACGCGGTATTCTTCCAAGACAACCTGGAAAGATGGTTAAGTCATTACCTCACTGGACGAGGTGAGAAGGTTGACACCACGCTCTTTGCGGTGGTTTTTTGGGCATTATGGAAAAATAGAAACACTTTGGGTGTTTGAGAAGGTCTTGGGGGAAGTCTCGGCAGTACAACACTATGCTCGACGCTTACAACATCATTCAGTGTGCTTGGGCGAAAGAGGAGCAAGTGTCTAACCATGAAGGAGTTCGGCAAACAGAGTTGATCTCTTGGCTTCCTCCATCAACGGGATGGCATTGCCTGAACACAGATGGATCAGTCATTAATGCATCAGGTAGTGCAGCTGCTGGAGGGGTGGTTCGTAGAGACGACGGGTGCTTTGTTAGTGCGTTCACAACCAACCTGGGTGGAGGATCCATAACGCGTGTGGAGATGATGGCTGCAGTTATTGGATTATGAGTAGCTTGGTACGAGGGAGCACGGAAGGTGAAATCAAGATAACAAGGTTTACCCATTACAATATAGACCATCTAGCCAAAATCAAAGCACCACATCTTAGTCCCCATCCCTCTATCATAAACTCCAAGCAAACTCACACTCAGAATTCTACCAAGCCTTACCCACAATGGAACTTCATCTCTTTCAACTATGTGTCCCTGTAAAGTGTCCATACACAAGTTTATTCCAGGAACAACTAGCTATAATGATAAAGTAGGGAAAAAGTTACGCCAAAGAAACAAAACCTATTAATAGGCGTCCCCCGGGTGGCCGGGTGGGATTCTCACGTCCCTAAGCTCACTGGAACATGCCAACACAATAGAACCCATCGCAACACATTGTCTCAGACTAATACAAGACAATTTGAGCCAAAATGACAGATCATAAGGACCACTGCAAATAAAATGCTTGCTTGTCGTTCAAAAGTGGTAAAATATTTGGTTCAGCAAGCCATTCTTGAAATTCTTCTCGTAGTTCTGGACGCCAAGCTTACTTAGCATGGACAGTGTTTTACATAGTTCTCATCTTCAGCTGGAGGTTGAGAGAATCTCTATCCTAACTGAGTCATCAATCAAAGCACACAAAAAATTAGTTTTCTTTCAGTGTATAGTTATGAAGCGCAGGAATTTCAGTCGTTTAAGAACTAACTTGGCAGATGCACCATGAGCTTTCAGATTCATTGGGCACAGTCGCCACCCACCAAGGAACTTTGCATTCAGTTTCAACCGATTCTAACAGGGGCGCAGAGCAAGAGGACGACACATAGTGAGGGCGATTGGCATTTTCTTTGGATTGGGATCAACGGGTACTGTGTCGGCGGAGCTGTTCGAGGGGGACAAAAAGCCAGTCAGACGAAGGACTCGATCACTTTTGTAATGAAGGCAGAGGCAAACGGTGAAGGAGTTTTATGGGGGGATTGAATGTAGATTGGATCAGTGACGGAGAAGTCGTCGGAAGTGCTTTTGAAAGTCCGCCGGCAAGGTAGCCGATGAGGTGCTTTTGAGAAGTAACGGAATCAGTGGCAGATAATTAGGATTTAACGGAACTGCTATTGCGATCAATTGGGTGACTGGGCCAGTTTGGGCCGATTCCATGATCAGCGAGCTTGGGTTGGGTTTAATACACTGACTCAGAGCCACATCATCCATGTGGACCAATAAAAAATAACGACACCAATACCGCACTTTTAATAGCGGCACCGTGGTATTGGCCATTAATTAATTATGTAACCACCAATTATCACACAACTCCCAGCCCAACCTCAGGTCTGCTAGAGGCACCTCTCCGGGCCCAAGTTCCAGTCCATCCAATGGGCCAGGTTACCTCAGCATCCATGACAGAAAGTTTATGGCCCATTTACACGAAAGTTTAGGGCCTCGTCCGCAAGTCCACAAAACATGACCGGAAGTCTATTCTATTCGGCAAAACAACCAAACCAAGCGTTGATTACGTGGGGTGGGGTGGGGTGGGAGTTGATTATTTGGAGCTAGGCAGCTTGCGAAAGTTAGGGCACAACTGCGTATTCGCCGTCGACAGGTTTTGGATCTTGGGATGAATTCAGGTAAAATGAATATGGCCTTGGCTCTTCCAGATTGTGTTGGGTGCAGGTCTCAGGGCCGTCCCATGATATTTGGAGGCCTGTTCAATAATTTAAAATGTGGTCCCAAAAATCGGTTACTAAACATTTACAATCCAACGATTTAACTTCACTTCTAATTTTCGAATCACATGTATCCAGATTCCTTAATTCTCTGTTTTCTTTTACGGTTAGAACTACCTTTTTCAAAATTTTGGGTTCACATAACTGATAATTATAACCAAAGATTAGTGATTCCAAATTTCCAATCAATATTAAGTTCCCTGCAAAAGAGAAAGAAAAAAGAACTTAAAAATTAAAATAAGTCGATTATGTGCCTGGATAATAGGGATGGACATTGATTAGAAGTTCATTAGAATTGAGTGTGAATAATTAATATTTAAGCGTTGGATGGTTTTATAAAGTTGAAATTTTTTGGGGAATATAAGAAGAGAGACGTTAAACATCCTTACTGTTAATTTTGTTTCATCAAATGACTTTCAGCTAAGTGGTTGAGTCTCTTTTTAATGAAATGAAGGTCCACAGTTTGATTCTCCATCCCGTCGCAAGATGTTCTTGTGCATGTGTGTTTTTATGTGGGCCGCTTTGCCAATCCAAGGGGTCAGCTCTGCCTGCGATTATGAGGCCCACGTCGAAGCCCAAGTTGGATCTGCCTCCGAAGTCCGGTCTAATGGATTATGACTTATGAGGTCCCCGAAAAGTTGAGACCCTATGTTGTGGATCTGACCAGCACAAGGCCTGGGCCGGGCCTTGCAGTTCTGGCCATGCACCAAAATGACATGGTGTATATGTTAAGGTCAGTAGCAAAGGTTGAGGTCTACGGCTATACGTACATTATTGGTCTTTTTTTTTGTAGTACATTATTAGTCTTTTGATAAAATAAGAAAGAGAAGGAAATAAATAAATCGGGATTGAGATTTGACATCTCGCAGGATTGGTCAATGAACTGTAGAGGTTCTGTTCCAAAATGGAGAAATGGTTCAAATACTTATTTTATTATAATAAAAAGAAAAAGGATAAATTGCAAGTTTGGTCACAGTGATTTCTAAAAAAATCACCGTTTGTCACTAAAATGATTTTATTCTATTCATGGTCATTCATATTAGTTTCGTAGTCCAAGTTTGGTCACTGGCCATTTATTTTCGTCAGACTCTGTTAACACCGTCAGTTAATTGTTGATGTGGCTAGCAAAAGTGGCTAATCAACAAATTTAACCCAAAAAAATTAAACCCGACCCCCCACATCATAAAAAACCGCCACGTAGGAATTCTAACCCAACCCGTCACGTAAGAATTCTAACCCAACCCGTCCTTCTTGAGAGTCAATCATTTGGTTTGGTTTCAGACACTCTTAACCAATCAAACCAATTAAAAAATAAGTCATATATCTAATATTTTATATACGCATATTTTGCATAACCAATTAAACACTTAAGAGTCAATTGTTCCTCCCTTTTGGACCCATAAAAAAATTAAGTTCATTACTATTCATATACTATATTTGTTTTTGTAAAATGTATACAACAACATATAGCATCTACTTTAGATAAAACTCATACATTATGATAATGGACTAGCTTATTACCCGGCCCGTTGGCCGGATTACTGTATGTTACCCACTTGTGGAATGGGAGAGAAAGCAAGTGAGAGTGAAGGGATTGGGATTCCACTTGATTAGGACCGGCCCACTAATCCGATTCTTCCCGACCCGCCCCAACCTAAAGGGTCAGAAAGAGCCAATAAGAAAATACGAACGGAGAGAATTAGTAATATATCTTGACTCTTCAGAAGTGGGTCAAACAGGATAAAGGTTGGGTGAGGGCAATTTTTAGCGCTAAGCAGAGTTCTGGGTTGAATAACTTTACTTAGGCCTAGAAATTGGTGCTGATGCAGACTGCAGTTTTTATCATACCATCATCAATCATCATTGAATTAGTCCTGGGCATCCCTCCCCGTTGTCGGTCTGAATTTTAATGATGGCTTCATTCCTTGCACCAGCCATATCAGCGAGTTGTCATCTCGAGCATGATTTGCCTATGTACAAATGATACAATTAGAGTATGAAACTGAATTCAAAGAAAAGGAAAAGAGAATTCTATCACATGCCAATAAATACACACATAATAGTTGAAGCTAAGTGAAAGTCATTACTCGCACATCAATTCTCAAAAATTACAGACTAAACAATGGCTAAATTGGCACTGAAACTACCAAGAATCATGGACGAAACAACTTGTCAAATTAAATAATCCTTATACTGAAACTACCTTCTAACTTGAAATAAGACATGATCACAGTTCATAGCACTCTTATCACTATGAATTGGTTGCAGCTCGTCCTTATCACTACCTCCCAAGCTCAATTCAAACAGAATAGACACAGTTATGTAAGATAACCATATCCTTACTGATCATAATTCCTTTCTTCACTCCATTTTTGTCGGAGAAAAGAGTTATCCCCCTCTCATGCATTTCACTTTCCCCCTCTCTTCTCCCTCTTCTTCACAAACCGATCCCTAAACCAGCAACAACAACAACACAAAATAGCCTTCGCCTCTGCCATCTCCATCTACTGAACGCGTTGGTGGCAAGACAGGACTGCAGAAGCAAAATTTTCTAAAATCAAACTAAATTTTTTGAAGGAGACTCAACCACGAAAAAAGAGTAAAGCAACAATGCTAATAGTTCAGATGGTTGGTTTTGATGTTATACGTTGCTTTTGTTATGGTCTCCAGTGTATCAACTGCAACAGAGATGTTTCCTCCAATCATCTTTAGTGCACGATTTAGAAGTAAGTCCTCTTGTTTGTGTCAAACGGAAACATTCATGGGTTTCTTAACTCCCCTGTTAGTGTAAATGCATCAGCAGCAAAGAAGTTTGACAACACAGCAAGCACCCAGGCAAAATGATACAATGCAGTAGGTGATATGTGTCTCGAAGGTTTTGAGTTACTAAAGTTCATGTTAAAAATAAACATGAATTAAAATGGATTATTCTATTAAGCAAACATCCCCCTAATCATACAAAGATCAGATATCTAATTCACAAACAATTAAGCCATAAAAAATCATCACACATCCACCACCTTTGACTGCCTATATTTGGTTTTTCGCAAAGTTGTGAACTCTTAAGGGTAAAGTTCATGGGTAGTCTGTTTCATAACTCTAGAGAGCACAGTAAGCAGCCACCAACCAGACACAGTGCGGTAGGCGAATATGATTCTCAATTCACAATTTCTCACCACCGGAAGTAAGAACGGAACATAATAAGCGTAGCGTTCATGGGTGGTCTGTTTCATAGCACTACTACACAATTTGTTAAAAAAGAAGGAAAGGTATTTAGCATCACGGCGGAACAACTTTTACAGGCCAACAACGACAACATGCTGCAACCACTAGAACTGGTATCACAACTCATAGGGAAAGTCAAAAGATTTACTCTTAAATTAAGAAGTTACAACTTCGAGCAATCGTCAAGCACATACACCATCACAAAAGTCACAGAACCTGATTCACAAAGCATTCAAACATTTGAGGACATTTCTGCAAAGATACAACTTATATGTCTTTTTTCCAAGCCATTTCCATCAACATGCTAATAAATTTGCAATGCATAAAACAAATGGGCCAAAACTTGAAATTCAACCTGTTTGACCGACCCATGCCAAATTCTAATTATTCTTTACTTTTAAACTTTCTATTTGAAAATAAAAAAATAGTGAAAGAAAAAAGACCACTACAATTCGCCATTTGCACATCACTTATTCGGGAATAAAACCATATAAATTCAAAAGGAACTGAAAATGTTGAGGATCGTTTTAATGTTTAAAATAACCAAATAGATTTTTATGTTTAGTTTTTTACTAACAAATACCAAACGATTCCCTATAAAATACACTATAATTTGATCATGATGATGTCAAATAATTATAAAATATATATTTGAAATGATAAAAATTGGACTAATTGGGTTGGTCGAGGTTGAACCATTGAATAACTTTAAAATACATTATATTTTAGCCACTAAGATATAAAATAATAGCATAATATATATTATGCCAGAGAAAATAGCTTGTTTTAGAATGGCAAACCCATGATGTTCATTTGTTTTACTTGATGACCAAATCCCATGTAGATCAGGCCCATTCAACTCTTTTATTTTATGGTTAGCGGTTAGCCCATTAGATACCATGCATTAGTCTATTGTTAAATTTTTTATTTTTAACAATAAAAAGGAGTATTATTTTTGCCTTTTCATATATATTTTATCACCACGGATAAATAAAAGGGTATAAAGAAAAAAATTGACACTCCTGGACTCGTTTAAATCCGCATGTGTACGGTAAGTTGGCCCGTTCCATAGAGGAAAGAGAAAAAAATTGACACTCCCTATTTTACCCTTCCTACAAACGCTCATGGAACAGGGAATTTGAAATGGGGGAAGAGTTTTTTGCACCCTGCTTTTAATTTAAAAGAATACAATAAATGTACTTAGTGTGATTGGTTATGATCCTTGCCTTTCTTTAAAATGGTCATGGTTCGAATCCCAGTACATACTTTTTTAATGAATAAAAAAAAGTAATTGTGAAGACCAAAATGTCCTTCCTACTTTCACTCTCGTTGCAGGAAATTTGAAATGGGGCTCCGGTTTTTCCCTTCGGTGTATTATATTATGTGTAGATGAAAACATGAAAGGAAATGATTTTTTCATCCTATGATAATTCTAAGAGACTTAATACAATTACACCCAATTCATTAACCCATACATTTCCACGTATTTTTTTTGTTATGTACTACTTGCACTTGCAGTAACTTTAAGATAATTGTATTAGTTGTATCTATTTATCTTAAAGGTTAACTATGTATTGTTTGTTATATATTTTTAATTATAAAAATCACGAATTGATGCACTAACAAGATTTTTATCTCACGTATTACTAATATTATGTTATATTGATAAACCAATTAAGCAAACTAAGTAAAATTTAGCTACAAGCCCAAGACCAACTAAGTTGGGTAACTTGAACAAACACCCGGCCGGCAATATAACTAAAAAGTGCAGACGTCGCCGGCCGGCGTCCAATACATCTATTTTTGCCCTTTACGTATCAGTCATTTCCTTGCAATTGAAAGCTAAGTGATCACATGGCCGTACTAATGTAATAATATTGTGCTTTAGTCGGATTTCATATGCTTATGTTTTCCGTTCTCTTTTATTCATTTCCCCATCCAAAATTAAGCCTTTGATTGTTTGACTGGTCTCCGGTGGAGCCGTGGAGATTGAATGGGCCGCCGGCCCGGTTGTTTCTTTTCTTAGCTGAGGCACAAAAACGGCTTACGAATCAAACAAAACACATACAAGAAAGTGATGGTTTCTATGCATTTACATGATACACACAACTAGACCGTTTCAAAGCATACATCTATAAATAGAAGATTAAAGCTTCATTCATTCTTCATCCAACCAAAACACACAACAATACACATATAGTTTCCCCCAACAAAAGACATTTCCAAAATGGCCACCATCATTTGGCCTCACCTCTTGATCATGTTCACTGTGGCCGCCGCTCTACTCGTCACCAATGTCGCCGGAGATCATCACCTTGATGGATACACACCTCCCGCTCCTTATGCTCACAAATCATGGCCGCCTTCTCCACATTCTTATTACAAGTCCCCCCCGCCGCCGTCTCCCCACTGGCCGGTGCCGTCGCCGCCTCCACCTTCTGACCCTTGGTCACCACCTCCACCTCCTCCTTCATGGTCGCCGCCGCCTCCTTCATGGTCATCGTATCCTCCTCCTCCGTACAAATACAAGTCCCCGCATCACCCGTCATGGTCATCGCCGCCACCGCCTTCTTCTCATCATGCTTATGAGTCTGGCCGTGATTATGAAAAATCTCGACTGTCTCTTCTTGCTCACGACAATTACTACAAACACAAATCTCCGCCACCGCCGCCTCACGTCAAGAAGTATCCTTCTCCGGTCCACAAACCTCACCGCAAGTCTCCTCCGCCACCACGTCACGTCAAGAAGGATCCTCATCGCAAATCTCCTCCGCCACCTTATCACAAACACAAATCACCACCAATGCATCACTCCCCGCCGCCTCCTTACCATCATTAAAGACCGAAAGCGATCGATTAATTTCCAGATCAAATATGAGATATCTACATTCACTTAAGATAGAGTTAGATCAAATATGTTTGTTTGTTTGTTTGTTGAAGTCTTTAACATAGAGTTAGATCGTCCTTAGTGATGCTCTTTATCATGATTCGAATGTTGTAGCTCATTCCCCTTAGTTCTCATTTGCTTAATACAAGTACCAAACCGTTATTAGCTCTCTCTAATCTATCTTCCTGTTTCTTAAGAACTAGAAGTTCCCGGCCATGGAAAGACCCAAATCAAGACCCATTTTTCCCCCATTAACATGGATAGTATATATAGCCGAGAACTAACCGCCAATGTACTTTAGATAAATATCCATTTAATATATCCATGTATGTATTAACGTACTAAACGAGTTTAAAACTCCCGGTTTCATACTATTCTGGATCTAACTCTTTTTTTCTTCTTCTTCCCCTTGTTTGTTTGATGTTTCACGTACTAACATACTTATAGAACATGTTTAATACATGTTTTAAGGAATTAAATTGACAATTTATCAATTTTTTATATTTTATATTCACGTATATTATAAATGTCTATTATTTAATAACCCATGCCAAAATCTTAAACATACTATTATGCTAAAATGACTGTATAAAAATCCAGACATGTATATCACATTTTAACATATATCACTAGAGATTAATTATGAATCGTATACCAACTCTCCAATAGCTAGTCAAATTTTTATTTAAGGTGGGTAAAGTTATTAACTTTTACAATGATGCATGTCATGCATCTATAAGCTAAAGTAGTAAGAATGTCATCAGTACCAGTCTAAAGTTCGTTAGTACTTTACCAGTAGCTTGTGTTCTAGTTGTGGCGTACACGTGGAATTACTATATAAAGTAAAGTCTCGCTCTTTACTTCGTCAAAATTGGTTATGCAGGTGAATTTAGTTAATTTTATTAATGATAACTGTCGCCAACTCAGTAAAAACGTAATTCTACATTTTGTGTATTTCTAAAAAAGTGTCTATTATTGCCTCAAATTCGATAATTATGACTATACAAGTGTATTATTTCAGCTAAACGTATTAGCTATAATTGATTTATAGAATATCTTGAGTTTCCAATACATACAAATTTTTATTGTCATATTGGATATAGTGAACAAATGGACTCATATAAAAGTTTGGCCCATACGTAAGCTTTGATTCTTTCATTCGTGCGGTAATGATTTGTTTTAAATAAAATTTTAGGTTTGATGAAAAAACGAATTTCTGTTTGAATAAATATTTGGTAAACGTGAATAAATCGGACTTCAAAACGACCTCCAGAATGCCTCAAAAATCTGAGTTCCGAACAATCCAATTCGGAGATAAATATAGGGGTGGGCAACGGGAAACGGGTATTTGGGTATACCCGTACCCGTCCCGTTTTTTAAGGGTTACGGGTACCCATATTACCTGTAATATTTTAAACGGATGGGACTTGGGATTGTACAGTCCTAATATGGGTACCCGCGGGTTACCCGCGAATACCCGTTTGGGTAATATGGGTACCCGTTGTACCCATTCAAATTACAAAGACATATAATTCAGCCAATGCGCTCAGGCCCAACCCAATTTAAAATCCATTAAAATTACAAAATCCATTTAATTCAGCCCGTGAGAGTTGAGACACTGACGCACCCCTAGGCCCTAGAAGACGCGAGACACGCGACGGCAGGCGGCAGCTTCTCTGGAATTTGGAAAGGTCTGTCTCTGTCTTGTGTCTTGTCCCTGGCTGGAGGAGTCGTCTTGGCGGGACGAGAGAGAAGAGACGAAAGGTCGAAACCTAGCTCCCCTCGGGCCTCGGCGCCTCCTTCATTCACCGCTGCCGCCGCCTCTGAGTGCGTGACTAATTGTCTTTAGGTAAAATGTCATTTAAACTTTGGGTATTTATGGGTAGTATGGGTACCCGTTATCCGTCCCGTACGAGTAATGGGTACCCGTTTCTCATATGGGTTTGGGATATGGGATGGACTTTGGTCTCCAAATGGGACTGGGTACCCGTTTAAAACGGGACGGATATCCCGTCCCGTCCCGTTGCCCACCCCTAGATAAATATTCAATAATCATTAACCATTAGCCATTAGCTAGGCATGGTTAACGTGAAACCCGGCAGCAATATGTAGCTAAACTCCTATGCACATCGCCAGCCGGCGTCCAATGTATATCTATCTATATGTGTACCCCTATTTTATGCGAACTGAAAACAAAATGGGCGCACTAATTAATGGAATAATTAAGGGGAAATTAATTAAGCTCTTGAATAATTATAGTTAGATTTGATATGTTTATGTTGCCCGATTTCCTTTAATCACTTTCCAACTTAAGCTTTATCGCTTGACTGTTCTAACTAGTCATTGAATGGTGCCGGTTGGTCATTTCATAGTTAAGGTATAAACGTGATGAGTACAAAGCTCCCGCTCCTTACTCGCACCAATCATGGCCGCCTCCTCCACATGCTCTTATTATAAGTCTCCCCCGCCGCCGTCTCCATACGGGTCGTGGCCGTCACCGCCTCCACCCTCCGATCAAATTTTAATAACCTTGACAATAGATTAATTATTGATCTGATATCATACTCTTTCGTGGCTAGCCAAGATTTCACTGCAGGTATAAAAAGAAAAAAATGAGTGGGTTCACGTAAGAACAAAAACATATAAGATGAAAGTTATTAATTTTTACAATAACTCATAACGTGATTTCGTATTTTAAAAATTTTCTTAATATATTTATAAGCTAGAATGTCATCAATACCCGTCTCACGATCACCACAATATTAAATTTGAACAACTTATTCTATAAAATAGTAGGTACATATATATATCATAAATTTTATTCTAGTTTGTTAGTACTTAGTAGATAGGTAACACAGGCTACCGTGACATATTAGATTTGAATCTCTTCACTAGTAAACAATGGGATGGGATGAGATGCTAACTGTATTAATGTTTAGCACCATAATAACTCTTTGGATTTTGCTACGGTGACATGCATGTCACCGTGACATGGACTTTTCGGTCGACCTATTGCTGAAGGCGGTCGACCGAATCGACTAATTCATGTTTGTGGGATTCCAAGACGTGGTCGACCTCTTACATAATACGGTCGACCGCTTTGGTGGTCTAACAGAATGAAAGGTCGACCCAAATATCTCATAGGCCGACCCTTGTGCACCTAACAGGTCGACCGCGTTAGGAAGAGGTCGACCGCCTTCACACCGTATCTGTATTGGATATGGATTCCAACACCAGAAAGGTTCCACAATTGAACAAGGAAACGAATTGGGTCGACCCATTGACGTCCCAAATCTCTATAAATACGAATATTAGTCCCATTCAACGCCTCCAAGTCTGAATTAGGTTTTTTTCCGATTAAGAGCCTTTGTGAAGAAGATCGTTCGCGGTTGCTGTTGTACGCGTTGGAAGTGGTCGACCAGGTCTAAGGTGAGGTCGACCTAATGTACCATTCGTCGTCTTCTTTTCTAATGCGTGATTTCTACCGGCTAATTTGATATATTGTTGGGTGCAGAATTCCATTAGGTCGACCGTGACGTCAATCAGGTCGACCTGACGAGACAATTCTGCGTATTTGAATTTAGGCCACAACACTTGGATTTCTGTACTTGCGAGGTAACCCAATTGGTCGACCTAATGGGTTTCAAGGTCGACCGTTCCTGTTTTTTTGGTTATTCAACCTGAATGTCGACTTTGGCTTTGATTGTATGACTATGTTGTGCTTGAAAAGGTCGACCGCGCCAAATATCTGGTCGACCTATCCTTTTTCGGTTTAATTTAGAACTTACTTTTTGTTGTTAATTGTTATTTTCCTGCTGGATAGGTCGACCTAGGAATAACAGAGGTCGACCTTAATGGTTGTGGTAGTCACTATTTGTCTTCCAGGTCGACCTAATACTATGTCAGGTCGACCACGTATTTGTTTTTTGGTCAATTGTAGAAATTTGAAGTTGAATTATGATTTAAATTTTTCTTGAAATTGTTTAGACAATGACGCATGATGAGAAACTGCATCAAGATTTGGGTGAAATCATGAAATTGTTGAAAGCCACACAAGAGAAGCTGGTGGTGTGTCAAACACAAGTCAATGACTTTCAGAAGTCCATGTGTGATAGAGTGGAGCAATTGTCAGTTCGACTGACAGATATGACTGGGATGATGCATGACGGGTTTGAGAGGCTAGAAGGTGCTATCAAAGATATAAGTGCAGAACGAATGGAGAATGGCGGAAGAAATGGTAAAGGACCTAATTTTGACTTTGGTAAAGAGGAAGAATACCATGATGACTCTGAAAATTGCTACCAGAGCATAGACGATTTATTGAAAGAGCACATTTTAAAGGTATCCAAGTATATTCATAGGTGATTGAAGATATTAGTATTACTATCATTAGTGCTAATTTGTTTTGTTTATATGTTTGACAGAGTGAAACAACGAATGGCAGCAAGGGTTCCTCTCCTAAGTACAAGAGACCTCGATATGAAAGTGACTCCTACACCACTCCACAGAAGGATCAATTTGTAAGAAAATGATTATTTAGTGATGATAGCGATGAAGAAGAATCTAAGAGTCATTTCGAAAAGCACGGGGTAAGTTTACGTTACATATTCATCTATAATGTTTGTTTGTGTTCATATGTTACTTTAATTTTAACTATGATTTGTAGGTCATGAAAGTGGAGGGTCTAGAAGGATTCACCAAAAATCTTCAAAATCCAGTTGAAGACTTGTATTATGTTGTTACTAAAGAGAAGGCTGGGGACAAGAATTGGGACAAGTAAGACGTTTTTTAGTATGTGTGGTCGACCGGATCGGTTATGAGGTCGACCGCTTTTCCAATAAGGTCGACCTGTACGTTGCAAATCACAATTGACATTTTTGTTATTTTGATTTTTGCAGTTTGACCGTTGTGGACTTTTTTTCTGAAAACGTGCAACGACATTATTTGAGTTCGGTCATTAGCGAGAATAGCTGGGTTTGCTCATCAGTAAGTACTATACTACTACGACTTTCTTATGAATTGTGCACTATTTATGTTACGATTTACGATGATTTTGTGTTTGATTGTTGGATGGTAGGTAGTGGATTTGTGTGCAAGGGCACTAACAATGTCTGAAAAACATGATGTGAAAGAT